CACACACCTGGTTTACAGCCGTAGTTGCAGCTGCATATGATTACCGACTCAGCATATGCAATGGTATGAAGAGATAGCATTGCATAATTCAGCGCTTTTGTCCTTTTTGTGGCTTCTACGGTACTTTTAGGATAGTTGGAAGACTTGGCTGGTGGAAATTTGTTTCGGGAAACGTTATGTGATGGCATTGTTAGCAGCTTTCCCTCCTTTGGAAAGTCAGAAAAACTTGGGAAGCATTTCCTACCAACTTTTATTCAAATAGTCATATACTCATTTCCTCCATCCCCAACCTCGCCGCTCGACTGATCCTCCGAAGAACTCTGGGTGGATTTGGAAGTGTGTCATATTGTACCAGGTTTGCGGGTTTAAAGAAACTACTGTCATAAAGAAATACAAATCGGCCCAAGGTCCCAGTTGATTATGCGGTATGGTAATTTTTGCGAGCATTCATGGCAATTTTTCGGAAATTCATGTGGCTAAACTGATTTTCACTCTAATTTTTTCATCAGTGACGGTTTTAGAACGGATGCTTTACCTCGAATTTTCCATCGGCGACCTTCTTCCTCCATCGAGCCGGTTTCTGAACAGGAACACCATCTTTTGCTGCCTCAAGAGCTGAAAATGTGCTCCTTACTTTAGTTGTTTTAACATGTTCTCACATTTTCATTCTAATTATTTTCAGACATTTGAACAGTTTTGATTCACTATGAAGATACACGATGTATGAAGAATGGGTAAGTGCACAAGGTTCTCAAAGTATTTGACCGGGTGTCCCCCAAGAGGCCCGTCGCGCGGCGAAGGAAGAGACGCAGATGCGGCAAAGGACGAGTCGCAGCGCGTGCTGTGCGATATGAGACGTAGTATGGTACACTCTATTTAACCTGACGCCTAACCGCTACAGTATGCGCTGCGACTCGTCCTTTGCCGCGTCTGCGTCTCTTCCTTCGCCGCGCGACGGGCCTCTTGGGGGACACCCATTTGACCGACAACAGAATATGGGGGCAGCTACGCGGTAGCGGGGCGGAGCTTTCCAGAGACCCCTCTGACGGAGTACTCTGGCGCGCTTGAATTGGTTCCTTGTGCTCACCTAACGTTTGTTCCCGTTCAGAAAAACCGCAAAATCACGCACCCAGCAAATCTTCACGGCCATTTTTGTCAGGGATCGTGAACACGACGACAACTTCGTGGCCGTTCTTGCGCAACGCCTTGTAGACGTCCACTCCGAAGGCCGACTGGCCGATCACAGCAATCTTCATCACCTGAAATTAATTTTTGACCATTTTCAGTGAAAACGTCACAAAATTCCATGCGAGGTAAACAAGTGAGTTAAAAAGGTGATTGTTCATGAATGGAGGCGAAATTCCGTAGGAACAGTTAATCCACTAAAATGTCGACGATAAAAGGGGAACGACACGAAAGGGAATCAGTCTAGCACTTAGAAAAGATAATGGAAAGTCTTCGAAGCGGTAGGGCCTTCCAAAGGATTAGCATGAAACCTTTAGACACGTGATAACATTCAACGGCTCCTTCTGTGCACGTAGAGTCCAATTAGACAAAGACTTCTGGAAATGTTTTATGACATTATTGGAATGTAAGATACATAAACAGTGGGTAATTGGCATGCGCTACTGATAAGATAGTAGCTTTTACTGGGAAAAATACGTTTGCAAGAGCTGTCAGCCGGACAATGCGGTTGTTCGATCAAAGCAGTGGAACAGCCATACCTCCAAATTTGAAGTTTGGAGCAAGAAGTTCTCATGCAAAAGCGAAAAGCCCTAAAGCGACAGGCGGGTAGCCACGGGTAGAGCAGTAGGACTGGGTTGTTGTACAAGAAGGGCGACTTCCATGGAATTTCCAACCATGGCCCGACCTTCCTACTATCTGTATCCGAGTAATTATTCTCTGTTTGAAATAGAGTAGCCCACGAAGATCACAGATGTGCCGTTGTCGAAAGTGCGCTAGGGCCTTATAAAGTGATGTGATGTCAAAGAATGTGAACCTACGCGCACACTCCATGTTGCGCGGTGGTTTACGGCTTAGCGGCTAATTCAAATACGCGCGGTATAGTGGAGCCATGGAGTAAACAAGTTCAGACAACTCGTCCGACACGCCCTTCCCTCAATTCAAGGGAGACGAGAACAAGTGCTCCTTCGAGGGCTTGGCTGGTGGTTTTCTTTGCTTCTTTCTTCATTTTCAGTCACCTCGGCATCCATTATTTCATATCGACCACTGTTACCTCTCCAATTTGATCTGAGGTTGTTGCTTTAACGGAATTGCAAAAAACTGGATGAAAGACAGCCGTAAGCAGGGTTATCGAAGAGGGTTCAGCACGATCGACCATATCCACACGGTTACGAGACTCATTGAAGTTTCACGAGAGTACAAGATGCCGCTTTGTCTCACGTTCATCGACTTGAAGAAGGCCTTCGACTCTGTGGAGACAGAAGCGGTCATCGAAGCCTTGGGCAACCGGGCGTTCCCAACGGGTTCAACCGTTCCTTGGAAATTCACTAATGGAAGGGTCGTGTTAGGGGCTTTTGAGGGTGGTTGATCGTATTTATTTCTTGTTTTTGTGCTATGGGATTGTGATTGAACTGTTATTGGTCGTAATTGTCCTTCACGTGAGGTCAAATCCTTCTTCAGTACGAGGTGGGACAGAACGAGACCTTAGAGAGGGTCGGTAAAATATTTGATTATTGTTCCGAACGTTACCGTGACATGAGTCTTATCTCAGTACGTAAGAAACCCATTTTTTCTTTTAGCGGCCGCTCAATGAACCTGCCGCGAATATTTCACTTTTACTACCATCATTCAACGGAAGAAATAGGAATAAGGGTGGGAGTTGATGGAGAAAGACGTCGGCAAATAACTTCGGCCTGAATTCATGACCTTGGTTTTGTTTGAACAGGCTGTTGATAACTTCTGATATGAACAGTTCCGCTGTGATCAGTAGACTTTCCACGAATACTAACTATTTTATGGGCCCTGTGCACGTCAGCACACAAAGAACGGCACAGATGGGGGGGGTAGGCAAGAACATAAAGCCGTTCAAAACGTGGACCAAGGGCGAAAGGTGGATTGCGTGAGTATTGCGCGTCAGATAGGCAACGAAGGATGGACGTTAGGGAAAGACAATGATGATACATGCAAAATTTAAAGGGAAAAATGGAAACAGTAAGCCTGAACAAGTGAAAGAGGGGTAACAGGTAGGGAAAAATATTGAAAAATTAGGCAGATGCGTAATAACTTCGATTCTATTCAATGGTACAATTTACGAAGCGGAGTGATTGGCGGCAGTGGATGAGTGTAGTGACTGCCATGTGACGCTTTTACCTAACCCTTGGGGGACCAATGTACGCTAAGACCAAGTCAGCCTTCCATCCATCACAAATCATTTACTTGCGAACAACTCGTAGTGGGAGAGGTAAACTGACTCGAGGTTACCGAGACTCTCCGTTAACTCGCTTCTATGACCTGAATATGCATGAGCATAAGTTTGAATGGCAACTACACTCCCCTTCAAAAAGCCAGAAAGTGTCGGTGTGCAGACCATACACCACAAGTGACGACGGCCTCCAGAAAATGCAAATGTTTTTTGCCAATGAAATGATTAACCTGTTACAGTTGTATTCGATCAGTTGACAGTAATTACAACTATCATTTACTAAAAATCAGCTATCACTATGAACCACTACTAACCAGATTTACTTTGGAGGCCGTCGTCACTTGTGGTGTTTGGTCTGCACCGCACACTTTTCTGGCTTTTTGAAGGGGAGGGTAAATGACGCAGCCTATATCATGAGGATTCGAAATTGGGTTACTGTATCCCTCTTCCCACTTTTTAATCAGATATCCTAGATGGCCATCTAATCCAACAAGTAACTTAATGTGCTCTGCCGCGCGCGGTAGCGCCGCGTCCCCTTGAAAAATGGCACCTGCATCACTTTCCACGGAAAGCAGTAACAATTAAAGAATCGAGGCGAATGAAGCTTTAAAAAAGAGCAAGTAGCTGATCATGGCGGACTTAAGCAGGACCAGTCTATAGGCAATCAACAGTCCGTACATTTCGCCGGTCTAACAACGTCGTATGAGGACAAGAGATCCGCCACAAAATCAGCGAAAACATCGCAGCTTACTGAGTGATTCGGTAGAGAAGTTGGGAAGGAGAATCGAGACAGAATGGAACTTTTTGCAGTTATTGTGTTATCTTAAATATGAAGATTGAAAAGGATAACGTGGTAATAGCACGTTATCTGGGAGAATCATTTATGTGTTAGAGTGACGTTAGAGTTCACGCGCGAACACTTTTCAATATTTGCTTAAATGACGAGGCAGCTACGAGATTTGTGTAGTGCACCACAACTTGGCATACTACCATGGCGGGCAGTGCTTGGGCATCTTGTCCATTTATTCCCCTCAGGATTGCCAGGCTGGAGTTTTAAATGCTGATTTCCTACGTGCATCGCTCCTATGTCCTTAAAGACATTTTCAGGAAGCATCAGAGTAACTGGAGGGGAAAGCACAAAGTATGGCGGCTAGGTGGCAAGCTGTGGTTGAAACTGAGAAGCACGGCAAGGGCGATCACGTAAGCCTGGATCGCCGGCCGTGCGAAGTCTTTGAGTGGAAGTTGTTGGTGCTTCGTTTCGTACTGTGATCGTGACTCCAGTAATCTTTCAGGTTTTCTGAAAAGACTGGCCCTCACCTCGTCCGATTACAGAAAAATTCCAAAAATCCCAAAAGTCCCAAGTACGGCTCTCTGCCAACGAAGAGTCCTACTTGGGATTTTTAGAGCATGAAGTCTTGGGAGAAGTTATAATTTCAGGAACATAAGGCGGTACGCCGTAGCGATCTTGACGTACTTTAACTTGGGTTACGGTATACCATCTTATGTTCCTGGACTTATAAGACCTTGACAGGGTTAACAAGCTGCCCATGCGTTGATCTCTGGTGGGGAAAACAAGGATGGTGCTTTGGCTTCCATACCGGTTCTTTTTCAAAACATGTTGAAAGAACTCGGGAGTGGAGTATTCCGGCAAATCTAACAGATCCATAAGAGCACTTTGAGCTAACCTTCTGTGAACAAAAATGACGGAAGTAATTAAGTGGACTACTGATGCACTGACAGTTTGCTCCCATCCCCGTCGAAGAACGACGATGGGCGCATGGCAATTTATCATGAGCGATTTCCAGCCTTCTCTTTGATATCAGTTAAAGGTGCCAGCAACGAACTGGTTACTGATAGCGGCCTAGTTTTTGTTCTAATCAGAAACACTGTCGTTGAATGGCGGACGAGAACAGTTGTGATAACAAAGAAAAAGATTCTTTTAAAGTATAGGGTCATGTAAAAACTTACTATTGGAAGCAAACAAGAATAAAGAGTCTCAAGAAGGAAAACAGGATAACACTCAGCGAATGGCTTCAATCTTCTCAGATAGTTTGCTAAGGTTTGCATGAAACGCAATTACAGTCCATAAAATCCATTCGACAACATCGTCGTCTCTAAGGTCCAGGACTCCACCGTTCAGCGAAATTTCCGCGACTACACTTGAGCGCTGGTCAGTGAAAAAAAGCTTATTTATTTACCTTTTTCTTAGTAGAGAACGTTAATATAGCGTGAGCGGTGGAGAGGTTCTGCGTGAGCGGTAGAGCCCGGGACCTCAGAAGACGGCGGCATTGTCGAAACTTAGGCGATATGTCAGACTTTGCGAACTGCGCGATCCTACTGCGGATTTGCGCCGATTCGCTAGGCGTCGCGGTCGCGTGTGACGGTCTTAGCCGCTGTCGTAGCAATCGATTTTTCGATTCGAGCATGCGATTCGGTAGCGATTCTGCGGGTCCCCGCGACGCGGCGGCAGACGCTAGCGACATGAGGTGCATTCGCAAGTCTGAATCGGCCTTATGCTGGCTCGTGACAAATATCACACCTCCCGCATCCTCGAAGTGGCAAATAAAAAAGAACATACACTTATAAAAAATTTTATGCCGGTGATTGCTTTAAGAAGGATCTAATGATCAAAAGTACTTCAAATGCATTTGGCGACGTACCCACATTACTCGCATGCAAAGCTCGTAAAGCTTCTAACTAGACTGAGTTAGAGGCGAGCTAAACCAGTGTCTTTATTCTACAAATGCTTAAGATCTAAATTCATGATCATTTCATTTTTTAGAACAAAATATTACATGTTTAAAATGAAAAAGCTGGCAATAGTTCAGGATTGTGAAATGACCGCCTTTCACGTCATGCTCAAAAGCGTAA